TTCTTTCCTTCCTTCCCTTTTAAATCCTCACCCGAGGATTTTTTCCATTGATTTTTAGAGAGAGTGGAAGAGAGAAGGAAAGACAGAGAGAAACATCGATATGAGAGAAGCACATCGATTGGTTGCCTCCTGCATGAGCCTCAACCATGGCCCGAGCCGGGGAGGAGCCTACAACTGAGGTACATGCCCTTGACCCGAATTGAACCCAGGACCCTTTGGTCCGCAGGCCAACGCTCTATCCACTGAGCCACACCAGCCAGGGCGAGGCAATGCATTTCTGTTATTTAAACCACTCAGTTTGTGTTCCATTGTTATGGCAGCCCCACAGCACTGATATGGGCAGGAATAAGATGAGTCTCACCATGTGAGGAAACTGGGCTTTCCAGGGCCTGCGGGGACCCCTGGGGGCTGGTGCCACCCCTCCCCTGCCCCCAGCGGTCATTGTCAAGGCCTGTGGCCGGGCTTGGCCGCCTCTCTGTCCCCCACTGCTCCAGCAGGAGGGCGCCAGACACTTCCAGGACAGAAGTCTGGGATGCATTTGGAAATCCTGGCAGAGAGGTTTCAAGTTTAGCTCCATCTTGGTCAGCGGGGGAACCGCCATCTGGATCCTGTTTGCTGTCCCTTGGCAGGGAAATCTGAGCAGAATTGTGGAAAATGGTCAGGGAGGGGATGGCTCCCTCTGGGGCCTGGGCCCCGAGTGGGGAGACAGCAGGCCCTGCAGTCGGGCCCTGGCCCAGCCACTTACTTGCTGGTGACATCAGGCTGCTCATGTCACCTCCCTCATCTTGGTTTCCTCACCTATAAATGGAGACAACAGTCGAATTTATCTCCAAATGCTGCTGCCAGGACTCAGTGAGATAATGCGAATAGGGGGATGCTTGATGAAGGCAAAATTTATGTAATTTGTATTATTTTTTTAAAAAGTTGATGAGAGAGGGAGAGAGAGAGAGAGAGAGAGAGAGATATTTGTTATTCCAGTTAACTGGGCATTCACTGGTTGGTTCCTGTATGTGCCCTGACTGGGGATCAAACCCAAAACCTTGGCGTATCAGGATGACACTCTAACCAACTGAGCTACTGGGCCAGGGCCTAATTTTTATTATTATTTTTTAAAATATTGTGGTAAATTATACATAACATTAAATTTACCATGTTAACCATTTTAAAGTGCGCAGTTCAGTGGCAGTAAGTACATTCACATTGTTGTGGAATAGCACCTCCATCCAGTCATCTCCAGAACTCTTTCCTCTTGCAAAACTGAAACTCTGTCCCCATTTAACACTAACTCCCCACCCCACCCCCACCTCCCAGCCCCTGGCAACCACCATCTCACTTTCTGTCTCTATGAAGAGGACCACCCTAGTTCCCTCATAGAAGTGGAATCATGCAATATTTGTTCTTTTGTGACTGGCTTGTTTCACTTAGCATGGTGTCCTCGAGGCTCATGCATGTTGTAGTATTTCAGAACTTCCTTTAGGTTTTTTTTGAAAAATGAGAACTATATTATTAGCTGCTTTGTGCTGTGGAGAGCTCCCAGTCACCTTGGATGGAGGTACTGAGCAGCCACAAATGTTTTGAGTATAAACCTGTGTGAACTAAAAAGGGGGAGTGGCTCAGTCAATGTCTGACAGGGGCCCCGGAAACTCCCCTCCTTGTTTACGTCTGAGTTCAGGTCCTGCGCTAAGTGCAGCCAGGCTGGAACCTGCCTGAGAAAACCCTGAGGTTCCCACATATGGGAAGGAGCCCCTGGGCCCTGAGTCACTCTCTGCCTCCCACTGGGCTGGGCTTCCACTGCTCCCTCCGACCTCCTGGCTTCCCAGGGCCCAGGGGAGCCTCGTTTCCTGGATACCAACCCAAGATGGAATGGTCCTTGGGTGGATGGTGGGCTCAAAGGCCTTGGGGGTCATCCTTCTGCACAGCGACCTTTGCTGTCCAGGGAGATGGGGACGCAGTGGGAGGTGGGGCCAAACCTGGGGCCTGGCGGTCAGGTAGATGGGGGCCACCCACTGGCCTGCGCAGGGCGATTCACCTTCCTTCAGCTGTAGTGTTCTTACCCGTCAACTAGAGAGAACTGTGGCCGCCTGATGGGGTGGGCGAGGGTTCAGGGGGGCGATGTACAATGTCCAGCTTGCACCTGGGGGTTAGGAGTAAATGGTTCTGTTAGTAGTAGGAGGGAGGACAGCTGCCCCGAAGCCCCCTGGATTTTTTTTTTTTTTTATGGATCAGCTCACTTTCTAGTCATGGGCCTCTTCTAGAAGTTGCACACAGATAAAAGGTCCCAGTTAATGAGGATCCTGGTTAAAGTTTTAAAATGCACAGCAAGCCCACTCCGCATAATGATGTATCGGGAACACAACAATCCTTTAATCTAGAGGGAATTAATTGCCGGGCCCAGAAATTCAGGGCATGCGGACAGAATCCTTAATTTTCTTGAGCTGACGGTTTCAAAAAGCGCCTGATTCTAGACGGGCTTTTCTCTGCGCATAAGTAAGACTCCCACAGTTCTGACAAAGGGTGAGATTGTCTGGATGCCTTACTCGGTTAGAATCGTGTACGTGGGGTCTGAATTAATGTCGGCTCTGAGTTCTGCCTGCTGGGTGGAACGTGGCCGACTTGGATCCCCAGGAGACTCAATGCGGGCTCTGTGGCCCCGGCATACCCGACGCTGCGCAGGGAATGCCCTCACGTGTCCCACACAAGTTTGCTGAGCCCACGTGGAGCCCGAGCTCAGGTTCGGTGTTGGCGATGCAGGAACAGGCACGGCCAGCCACGAAGACAGAGCAGAGATAAACCCTCAGGCAGACAGCAGTGACTGCACATTGTGATAGAATGAGGCAGGGTAGATGAAAGAGAGCAGCATGGACCTAACTTATTTATGGATAAATATATTTTCATTGGTTTCCGAGGAAGGGAGAGGGGGAGAGAGGTAGAAACAATGATGAGAGAGAATTGAAGGTGGGTGGTAAGGTGGGGATGCCGGAGACCCCTGCCGTGTCGCTGTTGAGAAAGTAAAGTGAGTTAATGAATTTGGGGCATTTACTAGGTGTACCGGCTACTAACATGGACCTAACTTATTTATGGATAAATATATTTTTATTAGTTTCCGAGGAAGGGAGATGGGGAGAGAGGTAGAAACATCAATGATGAGAGAGAATTAAAGGTGGGTGGTAAGGTGGGGATGCCGGAGACCCCTGCCGTGTCGCTGTTGAGAAAGTAAAGTGAGTTCATGAATTTGGGGCATTTACTAGGTGTACTGGTTACTAATGTGGATTTTTTTCAAGCGATGGAGTTACACGTACGTTGATATATATGTGATTTGATATGTATGCTATTTTGTTGTATTGATAACAAGCTTCAAAACTTCATATGTCAAATTTTCTGAAGGTGTTAACATCAAGATATTTTTTACGCTTAAAAATGTTGAATTTTGTGCCTAAAAGAAGAGGATTTGTGGAAAGTTTGAATTCATTACTTTATTTTGAGGAAAAGTGCTGCTGAAAGTTATCGTATACTTCTGGAAGCTTATGGTGAACATGCTCCATCTGAAGATACCTGTGAACGCTGGTTTAAACGCTTGAAAAGTGATGATTTCGATGTGAAAGACAAAGAAC